AGGATCTGTGTAATTTCGAAACTTCAAACATGTATTTCTCAAAGTAGCAGGAACTGCACTTGCGCCTTGTCTTCCAAGCCCCTCATTTAAGGCGTGCAAATCTACGATGCATGTAGAAGATCAACGACAAAATCATAATGTTCCGTTCAAAAAATGTTTGAAAGTCTATTAATATCTTCCAGCAAATCTTTAAGCCAACTTCGGTCGTTAACTTCCGCGGTAGATTTGCACGCTTTAAGTACCTCATCTTTTAATTTATCGGCGGAAAGACTCCTAAAACGATATTTTCAGTAGGTACTCGAATATTTGAACTTTGTTTGAGGAGAATATATGCGAAACGCCTTCAAAATTTTGTTTATGTCACAAGGAAATCGGTTCAGCATTGGTAACCTAATGAACGTTGTCTCTGTGCAGCTATCACAATGCAGTGGAAATAGTTGATGATGCCATATTCCTACAGAGCTTACCTATGTAACTTTAATGTATTTAATTTTAAGACATCGACTGTTAGTTTAATAATTTTATCGCATGTAGAAAGGTATGAAACACCGTCAGCAACTGTTTAATTGCTTTTTAATTCGGAGAAAATTGTATTTTTTCAAAAAGAAAGAAGAAAAAGAAGATTAAAATTGTATGTAAAAGTTTTCTTTGGTGATTGATAGAATTGTGAAAACAGAAATTTAAAATGAATGGGGGAAAAAAAGGATTTTATCAAATAAAAGAAATTCAAATTTACAATTTTGTTACTTTATTAGAATTGTTTTAGTGTCCTGTCTTATTCCGTTTGTCAAGATTCATTTCATAGGCCTCTCTCCTTACATATTATTTATCTTCCGAGGAAATGAGAGCAAATCCTCCTCTAAACATGTAACTTTAGATCTTTAAATTTGAATAAAATGCCAACGATTTACGGTGGTTTTAAAAAAGACCACATCTGCTGTTTTTCAAAAGAGTAGGTGATTTTTCGAACCCCTTATGGAGCAGCTGGCTCCCGCCCAGGGGATCAATGCCATTTTGAGCGTTCACCACGTTATTAGTGTACACTCACGCTCAGTCCCGTCGTTTTGCATCGAGTATGTTAGGTCTCCTATCTTTGGCTGTGTTGACACTCATATGCAACTTGATTTTTGGACAACTTTTTTCTCTCGCTCTCAGAAACGCTTTCATTTCCATAAAGGCAGTCGAATACGTGTAGCTTAAAAAATTGCTGTGAATCGATCATTATTCTATCAAATGAGAAAGAAACTCGCGTTAAAAACTTAATAAAATCGTCTCTCAATTCGTATGTATCGCATTTAGCTTACTTCAATTTTTCGCTCTTGCGAGGGCTAGGGCTAAGAATCTTTGCACATCCTTTGTCGTCAACAATTTTCAATATTTTTTGAACATCCATTTTTCCGTCTTTTACAAAAGCTCATTTTTCGATCTTAAATCCTCTTTACACCCTATCATTCAGTTCATCTCCATTACTTTTATTACTAGACTTGCAACTGAAAGCCATACAGATTGTAGCCAGCCAATCACGCATAGACTTTTTGTCTCGCCACCTGTGACGTCAGCAAGTCTATACATATAAGCGTGCATGCGCTGCCCCAAAATCGAGATCCTTTACAATATCAAACCCGTGCATCTACACGTTACGCCTTTTCAGCCCTTCAGACGAATTTCCATCAAGCTTCTATCAGTGAAAGTGCATCATAGTATGGAAATTCGACAAACATTTCATTCAATCTTATTCTCAATATTTTGTGCAACGTTTCTGTCAAATTCCGGATTATACGGTGATAAACTTTATCTCAAAATTTTGTCTCTTTAATTTTCACTCCATTTCTCTTAGTTTGTTGATCCTACGTTAACAAAGATCAGCTGGTGCCGCGAACGGTTTTTAACTAGCTCTAAATCGGAACGTGGTGTAAAACCCGTGTTCGACTCATAACTCTCACATGTCGCCGAAACCCGCTCTTAAGCCTGACATGTCGCCGAGTTCGACTTAATAAAATCGTCTCTCAATTCGTATGTATGGCATTTAGCTTGCTTTAATTTTTCGCTCTTAAAAGGGCTAGGGCCAAAAATCTTTCACATCCTTTGTATAAGAAGCCAAGCAAAGGAGAGTAACTTCCTCTGCAATTATGATCAACTCATACAAATAGAGTAACTCAGGTGTGGTTTAGTAATTTGAAAAACGGTCTAGCTTGAAGAAAATGTGACACTGCTGAAAATGTGAATGTCTTTTATTTGAAGAAGTAGTTTTCCATCTTATCACATAAAAAATCGACATAAAAATTCAATTAAGCAAAAGAAGTCGAATTTTGGCAAGTACCTAACACACTTCAAAGTATACAATCAATTGTTGGATCGCACGTTGAAACTGAGACCAACTCCTTATGCTTCACGCTATCGATCGACAAACAGAAGAATCATGATGTCAAATTGTCACCTTTGGGCTGACAGAATTAAAACCAGCGTTAAAATTATTGATTACCATTAATTATAACTTATACATTTTTGAATATGTTCAAGTATGAATAAACCCGTAAAAAATCTAATACAGATTAAAGAGTGTGGAATGGGTGGATTGGATATATGTCTTGCCTTGCCAACTTTTTTGAACTGGAGTCCTTCGTTCGTCCACGTATGATATCGCATTTTATTTTGAAAGTTGGTATAATAAACTTAAGTGATTATTCTTGAATGAGAATTTATGCAAAATCATTTGATGAAAGGTATTACGCACGTAAATCGGAGAGATATTAACTTTCGTACGCCTTTTTATCTTCAATTGCTGAAGTATAATGCAAAATACAACGAATGCTTGTAAATGTGTTCTTATGTACTTGTACAATAGAAGCGTTTGAATCTCCATTTAAAATGATGTATTATTTATTCTTTCTTCCTCTTCGTAAAGCAAAAATCTGAGACAGCTGTACGTACTTTTCCTTTCAGGGTGTAAGTGTATAAATATTTTCTCTTCCTGACATGTCCAAGTTCCAACCTTGAAGTCGTGCGTAGAAGATATTAGAAGCTAAGTACTTTCAAGGATGCGATTCAAAGCATTTTTGTCGAAGGATTATTATCAACTGAACTTGTGGGATAGTTTCCACCGGAAATATTTACTTGAAGTTCTTAACAGTGAAAACCACTTCGACGCTGTCTTTATCTTAAATTCTCTTAACAGTAGAATAAAATTCAAACGAAATAAAGAGTACACAATAACAAAAACAGAACTACCGGGTGTCTAATACCTAAATGACTAGCTGACAAATCGGTCACATCATGGTCGTGGAGAGGTAAATATAGCGAGGATATTAAAACTAAAGATCCAACCTTGTAATGAAAGACAACCACCAAAATAAATAGCCTCGAGAAACAAGCACATGGCATTAGATATTTATCACAGTTGACGATTCTGAAACCTTTGGTTAAATTTAAAGTCAGTGGCACACTGACCACACAGGAGGCATTGGTAAGTACATTTGGTGATAAACTTTCAAAATATAATCACGATGAATTTGCAGCCACAGGAATTGGAAATAAATGCAATATTCAAGAGTTTGTAAAACTAACAGAAACAGCTAAGTGCCATTCTCTTGCTAACTTTTAAGTCTGAAAATCAAACCCCCTTTAGTTCACATCTTACATAATTAACCACTCGAGATTCTCAGGAATTAAATGAAAAAAGAGAAAAAGAGTGAAAGTAAGAAACTGAAAACAGCATGAAAAAGTTGTTGGAAGTTTCAAAATTTTGTTTTATGGAAAAGGTGCACGTTATTTTTTACGTTTATTCGTCTCATTAAGATATAGGCTAAATGTAAGTTTACTTGAAAAGTTCTCCTGAGTGCATTTCAATGTTTCCTAAAATGGCGATGAAAACCATTTACAACGGTTGACGTTTCAAACTGATTTTCTCTGCTGCTTTGCTTTGAGTTACAATCAACAAACTTGCGCACATGCAGCAGCTATCAGCATTAGTCACTTAAAATAGTTCATGATGTCACAATGAGAAAATTATTGATAATTAATTTCGTAACTCAATATATTTTTCTCAATTACTTCCAAGAATTGCGCCTCACAAGATAAAAGTTTTCTTATACTTAATTTTAACTTAATTTTTATGATTAAATTATTTTGAATTATTCGAATCATTTTGATGGCGGGTTTTTTATGCTTGCCGGATGCGTCTTCATCGGATGATATTGATTTAAAAAATAAACTTGAATGGATCAGTCCATTTCTGTACTGAGATATTCATTAAATTTTTCGAACGATCATGGTACTCGACGACTTGTTTGGTTTTTTCTGTGATTCAAAAAAGTCACAGCAAAAGTTGAAGTAGGTGCCGCTCACAATGGACTCATGGTGAAAAAGGAGAAGTTTATTTGTGAAAATGTTTGAAAGGGAGCAATTCTATTGAATTGTTTCAAGAAGCACGCTTGTATTATCTGCAAATGCTCTACAACGAGCATTTCATTTTTGAATCTAGGAGGGATAAATAATTATAAGTTGTCTTCGGTGAAATAAAATCCGTTTCACGGAATGTCTCAATATCTATATTGCACCTTATGCTCCTGCCCGAATGGAGATAAATATGAGTGGTTCAAAGGGCAACCAAAGAAACATTATAACGTCAGCGAATTTCTTGGGAAATGGATTTTCATGGATGTACAATTGTGTTTTTCTCTTTGAATTTTTATAATCACTCCATAATTTGACCAAAAATCCATAAACTCTTCATTGAAATTGTCCATGATTACTTTTAAAGCTTGGAGGAAATGTTTTGACGTACCAACGTATTTTACTTTGGCTTGGGGGNCCCCCCCCCCCCCCCCCACTGATGAGATGATATCCTAAAAAATTCAAATGATGTTGGTCCAGCTGAGGGAAACGTTTGATTACAGGAATGGAAATCGGGATATAGAGGAAGTCGTAACGATTCACGAGAGTCTTGTCGTTACGGGTTTACGATCGCTTGTGGGTTCTGAGCTCCAGAGGGCGCGCTAGTCGTTTTGCCCGGAAATGACTCCGATGTGGCCGTAGCATGTTCTGCACGTACTTCTTCATGTAGTTGACTTGGTTTCGCACCATTTCGTCGTAGCTCTGGTCGCTCTCGTAGTCCTTGTCGTTTAGCAACAAATGATCAATCTGCGGAGAGAAAAATATCGGATTATAATTTAATGTCAATTGAATATTGCCTCAATCCTCGGAAAAACAGGGACTGAATCACGTGGTCGATTTAAGCAACTGTGTTGCACACTTTTCATGCATCTATTATATTCAATCCATATTTCACATTGATAATTAAAATAATTGTGCAACTTAAATCGTTAGCAGAGGTCGCCAAATACATAAAACAGATCTGGAGCACTCATGAAATAAAGTTCAAAAGAATATGTTTAGTTTTTTGTTGGTGTGTGGAGGGGGGGGATCCATTGGTACAACGACGGTTTCTCTACCTAAGTAGGATTTTTAAAATGAAAAATTACGGTAAAGTATCAATTTTTTAAACGATGTTGCTTTAAAATGTTTCATTTCTCAACAGTATATAATTAAATAAAATAAAATGAAATATAGAATAGAATGAAAAAATGAATAATCCACCAATGTGTTTGCATATCAATGCCGCAACTAAGGTTCAGAGGCATGCGTTCCTTCAATCTTGATTGCATTACAATCAAATAGCGATTATTTTAGCGCCTTATATTGAGAGAGTAAGCAGCATGCAACCATGCGAAGAATCGTGATAGTGCAGTAACTGTGATGAAACTATTCCTAAAGGTAAAACGTGTATAGGATAATTTCAAAAACTTGACACTCCAATCGTTGCTCATTAATGCTACAAGGTAAATGTTGAAAATTTTCAAAGGACACGTTCTACTATTATCGATTATGCCCAGGGAATAATTCTGAACTAAAAATAAACTTAGTCAAACGAAATTCCAAACTAAAGTAAAAGTAATATGCATAGCACCATGCCTTGAAGCACAACTACAAATTACACAAACGTAAACAAACGCAATATGGAAATAGAGCAAGGGGAAGGACGCGCGTTGTTGACGGCGCAGAGATACGACTATTCGTGCTTGATGGATGTCCGTGTTGCGCATCCGCAAAATTGAAGGCGCGATGACGCGCGGCATGCACTCGCGATGCTCCGCTATATGCTGCCAAAGATAGGTCGGTCGGATTCGAAAGATTTAAAAAACAAGGCCCGATTACGTCTCTCAAATCTTTGGTAGTGTTCATCACGTGGCGCATGTAGCCAATAATAAAAGTTTACCAAAATAGAGTTTCCCCGCAAACATACAAAAAAAACCCCGTACAAATAAAAGCAATCTTCATGCAGATAATTCACAATTTAATGATTACTTAATTTTTTTTATTTTGATTATTTTATGATTATTTAAATAAATGCGTCACCGTCACATGCACCCTTAAAATTTTGCGTGCAGCAATTGTAAAATACGACTAACTCAAGTAGCTGACCGAAGAAAGGAGTTCAGTGACTGACTCCTTCTATTGAAAAAGAATATTAAGGTGATTCGTCAAGCTCAAGTGACGTGGTCAAACTGGCATGCGATATATCGCATCTCTTAGATCAAAAATCTCGGCAGATTTTGAATTTTCAGCAAAAAAAAAAGGACGATAGCCCCTGCGCATGAGCCTAAAGAATCATTCTAATCCCAAAAATCAGCAAAATGTCGAGAAATGAAAGCAGAATAGTGTTTGGAAAAAAACCTCGCATTCAATACAGAAATTGATGGCTGAATCGAATGCGAGGTTTTTTTCCAAACACAATTCTGCTTTCATTTCTCGGAATTTTGTTAATTTTTGGGTTCAGAATGATTTTTTAGGCTCATGCGCAGGGGCTATCGTCCTTTTTTTCGCTAAAAATTCAAAATCGACCGAGATTTTTTACCTAATCGATGCGATATATCGCATGCCAGTTCGACCACGTCACTTGAGCTTGACGAATCACCTTAAATGCGCTCAGTAACCTGTGCTAGAACTACATTCGCGAAAAGATCCCACGCACTAATATTACAAAAATGTCATTAGTATCAGTGAGTAGTCGATTTTGATCAGCAAGCTGTTGATGACGGCAAAATTAGACTAGTAAGTTGTTCGTCAAAATATCTCAAAGAAGTTAGGCAACTTTCCCATTGATTCCGCAACTATTCCCATACATTTTTTCCCCGAAGCATTCATTCCACCACCACCAATGATCCATTCTCCATTCCGCAGCGTTCATAGCCGATGAGAAATAAACATTTACTTTTCATTTCAAATTTCCTGAATCTTCAGTTGAGCGGATGTCACGAAGCTGTGAGCCAGATTGGATAAGAACTATTGGAGGTCGGCCAGTAGGCGTAGTTCGTCTTGGAGACGATCGGTGAGAGGAGGCGGAAATCGGATTCACCTCCGAATGAAGTGGGCACCGCGTAGCTGGGCGCTGGCGACGCAAAGGTGGGCGCAGTGGGCGCAAAACTCATCGAAGTCGGACCAAAACCGGGCGTAAAACTCGAAGAAGTTTTCACGAAACCGTGTTGTCTCGGACTTGGGGACGAAGTCTGGACGTGGCTGGGCGCGCTTTGCTGGAATTGCGCGTAGTCACTGGGAGCTCCGCCGAAATTAATCGAGTACTGAGCTAAGTTCGAAGGGGCTCGCACTAAAGTGGGTGCAGTCTGGGCGAAACCGCCGGGTGCTTTCGCGATATTGGAGTACTGCGTAGAGTCGGATGCTTGACCGAGGAAAGTTTGAGACGGTTTCAGCGGGGACTGAGCAAAGTTGCTGGGGATTCCTCCTGATCCGAGCGAGTATCCTGCGAAATTCGACGGAGTCTGCGCGAACGTTGACGCGCTTTGCGGTACCTTGGGTGATTTCTGCACAAAATAGCTCGAAGTCTCTGTCAAAACGGGCGAGCGCTGCCCGAAACCGGAGCTCTGTGGGAAACTTTGCGATAGTTTCAGCGGAGTCTGCGGAAAACTCGGTGAAACAGAGGGATGCGCAAACCCAGACGAACCGGAGCTCTGCGGGGAACTTTGCGCGATTTTCAGCGAGGTCTGCGCGAAACCGGACGAGACCGGAGGCTGCGCAAACCCGGACGAGGTCTGCGCGAAACCGGAACTCTGCGGGAAACTTTGCGCGATTTTCAGCGAAGGCTGCTGCGCGAAACCGGAATGGCTCGGCACGACGCTCAGCGACGTCTCGAAATCGGACGCGGGTCGCGAGAATTTCCGCGAGGCGTACGATGAATCGGACGAACCCTTCGTCAACTTGCGATCGAAACTAGACGCGGTCGGTGCGAAGGAAGGCGTCTGCGTGAAACCGACCGAACTTTGCGCGAAACTCGGTGAACTCTGCGAGAAATCCGGCCAACTTTGCGCGTGTTTCGTGAAACTTTGCGGGCCGGGCGTCGAGTCTCCGTAGATCGCAATGGGGCGCGGTAATCTCGTGGAGATGGATACGGGGATTAAGTTCGCGGGCGCGGGTGAGGTTTGCGCCCCTTTGGATATGAGGGACGGTAGCGGCGTGGAGAAGCCCTGCGCCCAGTACTGGGTCGGCGGGTATGTGGTGGGCGTAATAGGCGCCAGGGGTGCCTCGGGTGGCGGAAAAGCCAAAGGCGGCAAAGGCGAAGAGTAATCCTGTTGTCCTTTGCAAGGTCTAGCGGGCGCCGGGGTAGAAAACCCGTGTCGGTGTGGCGAATTGCCGGTGCGCATCAGCAGGCGCTCGACTGCGCACGTACCGATTGGTACTTTGGACGATGGCGGACTGCGACCCTGGAAAGCGGTAGCAAGGACACGTAAAACAGCAAACAACATTGAAACAAAAACACACACGTGCAAAAATAAACAAAACATAATATGATACCTCATTATTTAAAGAAAATATCTTATTCCCTTTCAATGTTGTAAAATTTATTCTCCCAATTTATACTCGTACCAAAAAACCGTCGGAAATTTTTCATCCAATATTTTACAGATTTTCCTAAAACCTGCATTTAGCAAATTTTAGACAGTAATTTCATGGCATTTTGGGGGGTCAAGAGTGGTCGAGGCTCATTTTACAATTTTGGAAACAGAGTGAAATATACCTGAGAAAACAGCGTATAATATTGCTAATTGTAAAATTAGAAACGAATTAGCCTCAACGCTTTAATTTTACATGATTTAAATCATGATTTTAAGATTATCGATGATCTCACAAATTCAATTCCATGTGTTTGAATCAATCAATCATCATTAAAAAACTGCAAGTTTGCTATCGAGTTATCATTTCCATTTTATATATGTTTTTCCACAAAAAAAAAAAAAAAAAAAAAAAAAAAAAAAAAAAAAAAGATTGCCGATACTAACCGACATTTTGAAAGACTCGCCCACACATCATTTTCGAATAATCTAAACACTCTAACAGACCAGGGGGGAACCTCAAACAGTGCGAATCACACTAGGAAGTGAAACATAAAATCAATCTATTGCTCTGAAGGGCTCTCGGATAGCGAAAAGCTTGCACTCTAGCGCAAACGTCAGATTCATTGTGGCAAAAAAGGATGTGCGGCAAACATTGACAAACACGCACGAACATTGAGATCAGAATTTTCGGTTACTCACGCCAACGTTGATGGGCATGAGTCTGAAATCGACCCGTTGGGCCTCTTGGCGGTCTTCCTGCGGGAACACTTTCACGGGGATCGTTTCGGGGATGTGACCCGGATGGCTGGCAGTCACTTCGTAAGTCCCAGGAGTCAGGAGTCGATAGTAATCCCCGTTGTGCACTGAAATTGGTCCGAGATAAATATAAGTCGGGGAAAATCAAAATGAGCGGAGTCTATCAGTACCCTGGTAAAAATTGGCGATAGGAGCTGCGTTTCAAAATACCATAGGAATTCTTATAGCCGATTGAAGAAGGCGATAGAAAATCATGTAGCTGGCTGTAGGAAGTGGAAAACATCATACGGCCGGGCTACACGAAGCGATAAAAATTATACAGCCGGGCTAGAGTTCCTATCGCCAGGCTTTACACTTTATCGCCTGGCTTTTGCTTTCTTGCCATCGGCTACAAAAGGCTATAAGAAATTGTGTAGAACTTTGTGTGCTTTGCAAATCCTGAAGTTTGTACGGAATCACCTTAATATTTACAAATTGCACATTATATTTTCTTTTACTACATATTTTTTTTCATCAATTAAAATGAGAATAATCCATATAGAGTGTGCAAAGATTTCAAAGTCATGAGTTGAAAAACGCTGACTCCATGAGATAAAATATTAGAGCCCTACACAAAGCGGAGCGGCGGCGCACTGGCGCCTACAAACCTAACAGGGATACTTCACGCATTGCGCAATGCGTGAAGTATCCCTGTTAGGTTTGTAGGCGCCAATGCGCGTTACGCGCTGGCTGCCTGCCCGCCGCGCCGCCGTGCCGCAGCGTACCACGGCGCTTGAAGCAACTATTTCACACCAGAGGTATTGCACAGTATCATACGAAATTGAAGGCGCTCCCATATATTAGGAATGGCAGGCATCCTTCAAAAGTGCGGAGCTCTCCTCGCAAAATAAATCAACATACTACGGCCCAAGAAGAGAGCGGTAGTCCAAAAACTCAGTAAGTCCTAGCATCCGTAATTAGTAAATTTTTAGCATACATTTTATCGCCAGGCTCTTGCTTAGTCGCCATCGGCTATAAAAGGCTATAAGAAATTGTGTTGCCGGCTATAGAAGCTATTGGAAATCTTACAGCCGGCTGTAGGCCTATGATACTTTGAAACACAGATTCTACTGCCAATTTTTACCAGGGTAAAGTTAAAACACATAAGCGTGGCTGAATTAGTTTCTGAGGGGTGGAGAGGAGAACAATGTTCCATTTACCCCTCGTGGGAAACTGATGGTATTGAGCCGCCACACTGGGCCAAAATTTTCAGAAAGGGTGGAGGGGCAGAGAGGAACCACATGTAGAGGGGGTCTAAAGAGCGGTAAAAAATACACCCCAGTTTAGAATGGAGGACTTTATTAGCTCCGAAGGGATGAGGCTCTCCGAAAATATTTGAAAAAAAGAGACTATATAGTCACAAGAGCGATTTCAAGCTGTTCTGGTCAAAAATTGATTGAAGTACAATTTTGAAGATGAAGGACAAGTTCCCTCTTGATACAGCGAAAGTTCTCACATTTTTTACCTTCTTTTCATATTTCCGTCTCATTTTCTCCCCTACATTTTCCATCTCTCCTTCCTTCTGAGTTATCCACCTACGTCAGCCTTTTAGATAGAACCATGTCGGACTCTTTTAGTCACGATGGGTTTTTTTTCTTAAAGGAGCTAACCATCAGCTGTTGATTTAAAAACGCCGAAAAGTTTGGCACTCCCTCATTTCTTGTGAGACTCCCTGTCATACCATCCTTTTACTGGGCGTAAAATATTTCAAATGTGTGATTGTTAACAGGCCCGCCACAAGGGGGGGGGATACTGGGTCCCTGGTACCGGGGCCCGGGCCCTGGAGGGGCCCGTGACGCAGGTGACAAACCACTACGAATTCATGTGTAACCTTTGTCTCGTAGGGAAAAGTGAAAAAATTACCCTAAAAATTCCGCTAAGGTGAATGAAGTTTCAAAAACACGCTAGGGCACTATAAAATTTTTCTTACTTTTTTAGAGATTTTCAAGATTTTGAGTATATGTAGAATGATATATTTTTAGTAACTGTGTTTCATTTTCTTCCGTTGTCGGATGCTAAGAGGCTCCTTTCTAGGCAACCTCGACTTCAATGGCTTAACTCCCTTGCCCATAGAATTGAAAATTATCATCTGCCCCCTCAAAAAAAAATGTATAGATGTTTTGAATGCAACAATTCGAAAGTTTTTGGTGCTGAAAGTAAACAAAAAGGCGTAATTATTCTGCAGAAATTGATGGAAAATCTCCATCATAAGAGCTTCATAATGCGTCCAAATAGATTTAAAATTTCAGAAATTTACCGGGGGAGGCCCCCCGGACCCCCCCCCCCCCCTGTGCTAAGGGCCCGGGCCAGAAAATTGGTACCAGGGCCCGAGATGGGATGTGGCGGGCCTGGATGTGGAAAAAATTTGTAATGAATTGTACAAAATCTGGAAATAAAGTAAGGAGCTTGAATTGAAAATAAAAGTATTTTGAGGAATAGAACTGTCAACTCGTCAACTTAATGTTGACAAGAATTTGTGAAGAGATCCTCTCAGCGGCGCGAGTTTGTCCTAGCGTCGCGTAAATTGCGTCGGAGTAAAATGAAGGCGACTTCAAAAGAGTGGCATACCTGATGTGATATCGTGGTTGATTTCTGTTGATTGTCCATCAGTAACATTTTTAACGTGGATGACCGAATTTACTAGGGGTTCCCCAGAGACTGCATCAACCACTTCTCCTTTGATCCCGAGATGTGCCTGTAAATATTTAATTGAAGTTAACAAAAATTCCTCCTTGAAGTTGTGAAAGTTCTTCCATGAATTAAACAAAATTGTGTGCGTAATACTTTCCAGTTTGAATAAAAAATCGAGGTGAAGATCTACATAGTGCATTCATCCAAAATAAACCTATTTGTTTATTTTTATTTATTTATTTTTTTTTTTTTTTTGCGTTGAACCACGTCTTTTTTTTCATTCGAAAAGGAATTCTGCAACGTTGCAAACCGAGATACGTGGTTTGGGAGTTTATCGTCAATTTTAACTTTCATTTTCATATACGGTTTACTGATAAAATCTCGCGACGAAAATCTCGCACGACAGCACGTTTATCGTTTTTTGATTCGATAAAGATGAAAAAGAGAATTGGGACATACCTTTAAAAATTGCTCTTTAGGATTCTTTAGGAGGAATTAGAAACAATCTTTAGGATTAGGAGGAACAGTTTTCTGCTTTACTGCGAGCTTTTTGAACTGTCCTTTTCATCGCAGGAACTTTAGACAGTGAGGCCGTTACGCTATTTGGTTAATTTTCTACATCATCAAAACCTACGGCGTGAGTTGAAGTGCCTCTTTTTGTAATCCGTTCTTCATGACACTGGTAACTTCCTTTGAGCGAATTTTGGCCGAATTAGGTGCATGTTAATGGAAGCCCAAATTTATTACACTTTTTTCAATCTCCGTGTATATGAGAGCTCGGCATTTAATAATTTTGTTTTCAGACGCAACGCATTACCATATTGTTTTGGTACCCAAGTCTTTTGGTCTTTCCCTCGAACACAAATGGCTTTTGATTAAAAGTTATTTTTCGCGGGGGATATTGTCGCAGGGGATTACTAGACCGCAGGATTTTGATCATAGGATTTTGTCGCACGGAATTTTTGCCGCGGGATTATGTCCGCACACCCTCTCATATGCAACTTCAAGACTGAGCCAGTGGCGTGGCGAGTTTTGCGTTTTATTGATTAATCTGCCACTTAAACCTATTTAAAAGTATCGATTAACAGGGTGTTCGCAACGAACACTTTAATAATCGATTTTTTATCACAGCTTTAAATGGAGAAATATCGATAATCGATCATTATCACCTCGTCCCGGACTGAGCCTGAGTACCTATCGAAGAGATGGTGAAAAATATTTTTAGCGAAAGAGGGACTTTTTTTGAGCACTTCACATGCTTGACCAATTTGAGGGTCAAAAGGTAGTTGAGGGCACCGTACTTGTTATTTCTTTGAAGAAGTCGAAAATTAAGTAATCATTTCGAACATTCACTGGTTTCATGGCAATTTGTCCCGTTGTACTGTATCTGACATATCGACGGTGTAAACCGGCAATCACATAACACGGTTTGCGACGTTACTGACTTCCTGTCATACTTTATTTTTTGAACGGAAAACTATTCGACGGCAATTCTTTAAAACTGCCGTGATTTTTTTTCCCTGTCCGAAGAAAATTTTGCAAAAACTTCAAGGAATTATGTCAATTTGTTTCCCTTTGAAAAAATAACATAGAGGTAAAGATTTTCAGACACCGCAAACGAGATATGTGATTCCCGACATACACCGTCGATATACAGGCTTCGGTCGATTATAAATATTAGCTAAATCACGGAAAGCCGAACCGCGTATAAGTCGAATCGCGGATAAGTCGAATCCCGGATAAGCCGAATCGCGAATAACAAAACCTCTGTCATGCTTTGAGATAGGGAAGGAGGTGGCGCTTCATGCCCACCTGGCTGGTCCGAACTTAAGTTCACGAGGTGAGAGTGAGAACAAGTCTAAAGCATTCACGGTACATCTGAGACGCACGCGGGAAAACCAGATAAGATGATACCGGAGCCGCG